CGTCACGATAATGGCTTATCTACCTCTTGTACTGTCCCTTTTGAGATTCCTGTCAAGCATCTATCAAGACAGGTGTGTAATAGGAGCCAGGCATGTAGGCGTCACAGAAGGGGCACCTCCATATATGAGGTTGATGTGCCTGACACAGAGTTTATGCAGATTTCATCACATGTCGAATATGACCCGCCTATAGGCACTCACTTTCCTCACACTGCAACTTTTTTCCCACCTCCAACTCTTCTAACTTTCGGATGTCATTTCAATATAACACTTACTTCCATATCTGTATTTGGCTACACAGTTGCTGCTACATTGTCCTCTGCTACTCCATATACATCGTTTCATCCCATAAATGAGTTCGAGGATGATCTTACTTATATCTTCAACTTCTTAGGGACCTTGATGGATTTTTCACCTGCTTTTCAAATGGATGCCGACAGCGCTCTCGTTTATGCTCTTTCCACGATGTCTATAGATCGTTTTTGTCTAAGATGCAGTCAGACTTCTGTGGTGGACCCCTTGGTTGATGATGAGGAGGGCCAAATGCTTGAAGGAGTGCAGACACCACCTCGAAGGTCCGAACGACTACACCTGCTGCAAGATCTACCATACGAGAGGATACATTGGCAATGTGGCTACTCTACCACTCAGCGCAACAAGGGTAAGAGGCACGTTGGTGGGCGATATTCAGATTTTAGGACTTTTTCTTATCAAAACTTCCGTTTAATTATCACTGAACTTTTAATTTAGTTATTGTATCCATTTATCATTGAATGCTGCATTATTTATCTTAATTTAAATTAACCTTAAACTAAAAAATTGAAAAATGAACGATTTCAACATATTTCATTTTAAATTAATTTTTATTTTCAATTGAAGCTAAAGGAATTTTTAAAGGAGGATTAATCACCAGTTATGAAAATAGCACAATTTTTAGAGGAATTTTTGTTTTAGGAATTAGGGTTTTAGGGTTTACGGATTAGGATTTTAGGTTTTTAGTGATTACAGATTATGGTTTTAGGGTTAGGGTTTACTTGTTGCTAAAAAATGACCGCATCAATGTATATGACTAAAGGCTTTGCTGCATGTCACATGGGCGATGAAGCCTTTTCAACATATTAAAAAAAACATTGTTTTTACTTTCTCAACAGAAAAAAAAGAATTTAAATCAATTTTTTAATGAAAACTAAAATGGCAATTGTGGCGACCCATAATTAGAAAACAAACTCAATCAACACCACTTTTGTGATGTCTTTTTGTACAGACAATATTCTTAGAAGTTCGCCTCACTTTAATAGTAGCAAAACTTGAGGAAAATTAGAAAACTCACAGTGCGGTTAACCATTCTGATTGAATGGTTATTATAGACCTTAACCAAACAACACATTCAGGTATGATGGCAGTTGATGCCGATTCCTGGGTAAAACCCACTCACCAAACATCTCCTTAAGATCTGCAACTTCTTATCCTCGTATTATTATGAACTTATATAAGAAGTTAAGCAATTAACCATACAGTTGTCGCAAAGTGACTCACAAAACTACCATCACTGCTACTGAACATAATTTGCACAAATCATTTACATTGCCTCTTATTCAAGTTTTGAGCAGAGAGCAGTTTAGATAATAAAGTTCTCAATCTTCGAGCACCTGTTCCAGGCTTCAGAACACCATAATTCTCACTTTGCAAATCTGAGCATGAAAGACTCAGATCATCAGCCCCCTTGGAGCACCATCCACCATAAGTAAAATGTCTATGGTGTCTTTTGAGAATCTCGTGATCAATTTTATCAAGAACACGGTCATTCTGCTTGAATTTCCTAGCGAATGGACGATTGCTCAAGACCATTCTTCTATAGTCTTTTTGCCCAAGTGACCGTGGATGTTGCTTCGGAGGATTGTCCCATGTAATATGGTGAAGATCATGGTTGACTGTAGTGTTTCTGTAGTCTTCAGAATTGCATATTACTGTCTGGAAATAGCCTTCAGGAGATGAAACGAAATTTGTGTAGTAAAGGAGAAGGGTTCTTGGCAGGTTGTCCCAACCAGCAATGCAATATTCAGAGAAGGATCTGGATAGAAATGTCCACGCTGATCCTGCGAAAGTAAAAACCTGCTAATTAGTCATCAGTACCAGCAAATGATATCAATGAATCTAACCAGGTAGGATCATGACTAATGGACTTACAATTTGGTCCTTCATGATGTCAAATGAAACAGTCAACAATTTTATTGTTGATAAAGATCAAGTTTTAAACCGAATTAGCAGTCTCAACTTCAAAGACTACAAGTGTCATTTTGTAATTTTGTGTGCTCATTTCCATTATATGATATCAATATTTTGGGGAAGATAAATGCAGCCCTGCGCTTATTCTAATGAAACAATAAGTTACTATAAACAGGTACTGTTCATCCACCAGAACTACTACGATTTAAAAATTTATTCAACTTTCAATATTCACTACTGAAATTTTAAATGATAAGATCTCCAACATGAATTGTTTCAAGCAATTGTCACCGATAATTGCCAATTGTCACTAGCTATTGCTCAGAGACCCTTCTTGACTTCAGCATCTTTGATTAACCGTTTTTTCTCTCATCTGGTCATTCAACGAAAGTAGACTAGCCCAATCTCACTCTACTATTTGCTTATCTGCTTCTTATCAAGTTATGTCAATTAAGGGAACAAAAAAGTAACAAAAAACATGAGGCCTGACGGACAAAGTTTAATAATAACACCAAATAATATTTCAAACTACATTCCACTCATAAAGCCGGAATAGGAAAGAGTAACAAGTGTGACGTTCCATCATCCCTTGATTTTTCATGAATGTTGCAAAACCATTGAAAAGAATTTCCGATCTAAGAGATCTGCAAAATTTATGGATCCCGAGGTTTGAGACCTCACAACAAGTGCAGCTGTTAGAGGACATTAATTAAATCTTAAAAAATTACCAAAGATTTTATCTAAGCATGTATTTCACGACAAGAGTAAGCAAATACTATTGCTGACACTGCATGTTGTGTTATCAACACATAATTTAGGAACCAAAAAGCTTTCTGATCAATGAACTTATTCCGGAACAGAATCTATGAACAGATATCAAGAAAGCCCTCCGTCGTCCAATCAGGAAAGCACGTGAAAATCAGCAAGAGCATGCGCCTATTGTAGACCATGTAACCAGATGGTCTGTTCTAGAGAAATGTGACCCAAACTTTCAAATGGGGAAAGCTGAAGTCAATTGTACAGCACATTCAGACAGAGCAATACACCAGTATACCACAGTTACCAATAGCATTTGTTCTCATTCTTATCACTCTCTTTTTACCTCAACCCCCCTTCATTTTAAAAGAAGACTGTTAAAAAGATACAATTTTTACTAACTGTAAATAGAAATTTAAATTGAATATTTTTTTGATATATATTAGAGTTGCCTTGCTGTATACAATAATAAAAATTTTATGCTTAATATTTTACAAGAAAATGGAAAAGACAAATAATAGTGTCACAGCTCAAATTTTAACAGTTACAGCAATTTTTGTGAAAAAATGATCTACCCCTCCCAAGTCCAATTGTGACGATGAGTTGGGAAGGGTAAGTTGGTATATATCATCAAAAAATTGAGTTTTGGCAATATCCCTAGACAATGAAAAATAAGGTTCTGCAGCCCCAAATATTGTAGAATGTACGTTCTTTATATTAAGGATAAAAAAAATGCAGCAAGCCTTTTGAGCTTCATCAACGACCAATTGTTGCCATAATCTAGAAATCCACCATAGTTAGCTACCGTATTCCACAAAATTCCAAGGCAAAGAAGTTTATTCTACTCTCACTTGTTTCAAATGCACAAAATGTAGAGCTAATTATGTAGACTAGGCTTGTCTGTTAAGATAAATTTAAACAAATTAATTAGTGCATGTTATTTGGTTTTTAATTGCATTTTGATTTTGGAAATGACATATCAAGTACAAGAAGGGAAACTTGTCATGAGATTATGGTAACCAATGTCCAAGAAACAAGGGAAAGAAGTGCTAATAATATGTATATCCCTTGTTTTTGGTTTTCACTTGAATTGACACAACAAAAATATTAAAATTAGGCAACAGGAGATTTGCACAAAATTTTTCTGGATTTTGTTTTAGTGTGTCCTTTTCTTGCTTTTCACTACCGGTTGAGTAAGTACTTCGTCACAAAGGCCATATGCTCCTAAAAGTTAAACCCCAAAAAAGAAAAGAGAGAGAAAAGAAAAATGTACATCTGCCTGTACGTTCAAGAAGAAGCTTCGTGCTGTCTAGTTTTGTCTCTTTCCTATCATCCCAGAACTTGTACATTCTATATCCATGTGGAGAGAGCATAATGCAATGACTAAACTATCCAATTTATCAGAGTATACTTAACTGAGCAACGAACTTACCAGTAACAACCAAAATAGATTTCACCTACCAAGCAGTTCCATTTGTTTTACGCCATTGGTTGCTTGGAGAAACCGCCAAGTAAGTTATGACCACCCCACTAGATAGGCCATGGTGGGCTAAAATTTCTTAACTTTGCACTAATTCGATTCACGTCGATTCAAAAGTAGAGATTCCTTAACTTTACACTAATTCGATGAAATTTCATTTTCAAAGCATAATTGTAACTCAAGGTCGTAATAAATTGTGAAATAGTTGCAGAAGATATGAAGAATAAATTGAACTATTTGAAAGAACGCATATATACAGTTTTTGTGCCACAGCAAACCAATTAATTACCCTATTATAAAAATGCACTTTTTCATTGGAAAAGGATAAGCCTGTTATTCTAACTTTTTAATGATAAAACTCTCACTCGGTCACTCCTTGATATGCTACACCATTTCACATGGGCTCCATGATAAGGTACAAAATTTGATTTATATACTCAACTAGTTATCTTTCATGTTAACAACAAATTGATGACATATCAAGTACTTTAATCTTCCTACTAGATGATAAGCTTGTACCATCTCATAAATCACAACATTTTTTTTTTCGCAACGGTAGATGTCTTATAACCTAATCTAGCCTAATCTAGAGGGTAGATGTCTTATAACCTAATCTAGCCTAATCTAGAGGGAAGGGGTAAGGGGAGATGGTCAACTAAGACCATGAAATTCTTCATGAAATTCTTCATAAACCACAACATCAGAACATGAAATTCTTCACAATCTGGTCTGAGGGGTCCACAAATTCCCCCACCAAATTCTTTATTCCTCTAATATGATCTCTTGCCCCTTGGTTAGGAATATTTTTATTTCTAGTTATCGCAAGATTATGCATCTATAGACATTGCTTATGTACGAAACTAAGCGAAACTTTCACCATCTAGAAACTTGTGTCATCAGGAATCACATTGGTGGACAGAATACATTGCAGCTAAGAAGGAAAAAGAAAATTGGAATTAAAACCTGTAAAAAGCTTGAAGGCAGTTGGGAGACTTCTTTGCTTTATAACCCACCAGATCTCAGATTTATTAAGGCTATGCAGACCTGGGTCTATTATAACTGGCTTTCCTCTCTTATTCCTGCAGAAAGTTATCAATTATCCATCTCAAATTTCATAATAAAAAATTAGAATACCTTTAAGGCTTCAACAACCAAATTCCATTTCTAATGATTCAGAAATCAAGAATGTGCTCTTACATTTTCCAGCCCAAATGGCTAGTGTGCTGAACAAAATTAAGATCTCTTGGCAAGTTAGCAAATGCTGACATCAGATCTGAGATTTCGCCAATAAAATGGGATCATATAAGTTTCTTAGAATTGACACGAGTTTGAAAGAAGAATAAAAGGGCTGCTAAGAACTCCATAAAAGTTAAACAGATACTGAAAATTAAAACAACAATATGTTACATGCCACTCACCATACCATCTTGAGTTACCAAAGGGTAGTCAGAGGCACTGAGATTGATGAACCAATCCCATTTTGCAGTCCTAAGAAGCATAGCTATTGCATGGAGAGTGGTGGCAAGCATGGTTGGACCTCTATAGCTAACCAAATTAGGCTTTCCAACAATCCAAACATTGCCAACTTGGCTAAAAACAGGCTCACTGGACACAAATCTTGCTATCTCCTTATGCTCAAAGTCTTCTGCATCAGCTTCCAGGTGTAGCAGATAGTAATTTCCTGGATGGTACAGGGCGCGCAATAGGCGTTTAAGCTTCACAGTGTCTCCTGTAGATGCTGAGATCAAGTAGGCAAAAGTCACTGGATATGGCTGGCTGGTTTTTGGGATGATGAAGCTTTTGGGTGGCCTGAAAATGGTGATGGGGTGGGACAGCCGAGTGGGAATGTAGAGAAGAGATAGTAGAATAGAAGTTAAAATGAATGTGAACAAGAAAATTTTGGTGATCATTGTTGTAAGGATTTTGCAAGAATTTGTATTAGTTAGATTGGGATTTGGATGAAGAAGCTGCTGTTTTGAGAATGGAAGAGGAGTGGTGGGTAGTTAAAAGTTTTAAAGTGGTGGTTGCTGTTGGAGTCTGATTTAGGAGGGAATAATAATGACGATGGAAGAGTAGAGATGAATTGTTTGGGGATTCCTTTCTTGGATGGGAAAGCCTCCATCTGTCACTTTCCCTAGGTTTGGTATTAACAACTTTATATTGGGGTCTAAAGTTTGGTGTACTTAAAGAATTAGTACCATGATACTAAAAGCTAAAATTCATAACAAAACCCTGGGAAGCCACTGAGTTTCTCAGGAGAGGGACTTAAATCCCTCCTTAGACTGCAGCAAAAATAATTTAAGGGTAATATTATAATATTTTCTTGATTTACTTAGGTTTGTATACCTACTAACTCCTAATACACAAGTCTCTTTAGATTCTCATTTTCCTCTAGATTAGAATAGAATAGATTATACAATTGTTATTGTTACTCGAAAAAAAATAACAAAACCTTGGAAGTATCAATTTTGTGGTTAATTTACATGAAACATTATGTGTGCATACATGCTGGCCTCAAAAGATTTTTCTTGGTTCCTTTTGATACATGGCTTCACAAAAGAATAACTTAAATAATTTGAAGAATAATTAGAACGATTTAGTTTCTAAACTTTTTTTTTATCATTGTCAATTTAGTCCCTAAACATCTTGTTCTTCAAGCAAACAAACAACCACTCATAGGCATTTTAGGAAGTTTATTTGAGGATCCTTCTAATGAGACAATACAAAATAAAAAAACATAATTAAAAGGACGAAATTAGGAGAACAATTGAGAGTGAAATAGGATAGCCAAATTCGGGCTCAATCTGGAGAGTAAAATTAAGCAAAATCAACGGGAATCTGATGATGGAAACGAACCAAATGGCTTGGAATCTTAAGGATGGAGCAATTGGGTGAGGAAAAGGATAAGGAGGACAAATCTAAGGTAAGGGTTGTAAGCATTTCCAATAAATACACAGACATATATTTAATTTTGTTTCTAGTTGATATTTGTAATGATATGCAGTTGTGTTCAAATAGCCAAATTAGGGCTCAATCTGGAGAGTAAAATCAATGAAAATTGACAGGAATCTGATGATGGAAAACAAACCCAATGGCTTGGAATCTTAAGGATGGAGCAACTGGGTGAGGAAAAGGATAAGGAGGACGAATCTAAGGTAAAGGTAGTGAGCATTTCCTATAATACACACACTTATATTTAATTTCGTTTCTAGTTGATATTTGTAATGATATGCAGTTTGTGTTCAAATAAGTTGTTGGTTCTTCAATTAAAGTAGTGGGCCTCGGATTTTTTCATATTATGTCCATGTAATGGGTTTAAAAAAATAGGGTTTTAGGTGTTGAGAGATGTGGAATTTGATGTGGGGGTTGTTGTTTTTTATTTTTTATTTTTTATTTCTCTTAAGTTTAGGTGATTCTTTTGCCTTCGAAATTGCAATATATTGGCTTTTTCATGTTCCTAGAAAGAGTAACAAAATAGTGGCAGAGCATGTGGATTATAATTAACAAAATTATTTTTTCTGAAAAAAGGATAGGGGCTGGTCTTACTTAATCCGCAAAACTATTATAGTGGGTATATTTTGGACCACTAGAAGAAAAATATGTGTGGGGCAATATGGACTGCTTTAAAGGCGCATGTTCCATTAGAGTTAAAAAATTAACTGTCCATGACTTTTGCACTTGAATGTACAAAAAATGTGAAAATTACGTATAGAGTTCCGTGTAGAGATTGCAAGTATAAACTTCGCAAAATACATGGTGAGGATCATGCCGCAAACATGGCTTAGGGAAACAAACTGGTGAAGTTGAATTGTACTTGGTCCAAGAATTTCATATTAAATTATTAGATAGTAAATTGGGCTGTTGTAATGTTGATATGGTGAGGATGATGTATATATCAAATGAAAATGCATGTTATGTTGACATCACTTTCGATGATTTTACTGCATTTGAAGATGCCACAATACCAGTTGAGGTAGATGATGAGTGCGGGCCTGATTATAATGCACCACCCAAATCTTCAGAAGCTAAGCTAAAAGTTTTAATGACAGTGATTATGACTTCAATAAAGATGAAGATGATGTGATCTTCAAGAATTTTGTTGCTTATTCTGATTAGGAATTTGAAGCTCTGAAGGAAAGAGGGGAACAGCTGCTGTTGGAGGGAAAATTGGGCCTAACAATGATGAACTATAAACAACAAGAAGACAAGCATGATTGGCAAGACAAAATATGTTTGAAGTCGGTGATGATAATTTCAACATGTATGATGGAGACCAGATTTTAGTACATGAAGAATCAGATTCAATGAGCTCAAAAGAGCTAAATAGCAGGTATGAACCTTCATGAAGGTATTCAAGGAGGAAGAAGCCAATTTTGTCAGCTTCAAGCCAATTTTGACATGAAAGATCCAAAATTCTACGTTGGCATGTTGTTTCATGATAAACAGTTTTTTAAGAGAGCATTTGATTACTAGGTGAAGAATGATATTGGCAAAATGACGATAAAATGCAAGACTGAAACTTGAGGCTACCACATTTATGCCACAAAAGAGGAAGGGATAATTTCAAAAATCTCCCCTAAGGTTTCTAACACTCTCACTGTCCTCCCCTGAGGTTTTCAATATTTTGAAAACCTCCCCTAAAACTAATTAACTAGTAACAAATCAACCAAATTCAAATACAAAAATAATATAAAATTGGCATCAGGAGAGAGAAAATAATTTAATTCCATAACTACCCTCAAGTTTTGCATTAAATAGTTAATTTACTACGAACAATATACATCTATTTTAACTTTATCAAATGTGAGGTAGTTTAACTGTTACCGCTTTAATAGAGAGTAAACAAAAGATCAGATTTCTAACTCTACAACAAGTTTAGCAACTCAAAGTCTTATCTACATATTGCACTTGTAATATCATACTATTACATCTATTATAACATATCAGTTGCATAATCTACTACAAGAGAAACAAAACATGTAAACCCTACCACAGCCAACATTTCGATTGAAAAAAGACCATTTGTTGAATAATCACAAATAAGAAAAACAATTGTCATAATTAAAAGGCTTTTCAATTTAATAGCATACAACAAACAATCTTTACCTATATTTCAGACAACACCAACACCTATTTTCGATGACAATAAAAGTAACAATTCGGATAAAAAAAATATAAAATACTATCACCTTACATTGTTAATGGAGAGGTCAAGGAGTATGTGATACCACAGAGGGGAATTAGACAGGGTGATCCACTATCACCTTACCTATTCCTCTTATGCTCTGAAGGCTTTTCCAACCTCCTCCAAAAAGCAGCAGTTGAGAAAAAAGTTGAAGCCATGAAAATTAGTAGGTAGGGACCTAGACTAACCCACTTATTTTTTGCAGATGATTCTTTGATCTTTTGTAAAGCTGACTCCCATAATGTAGAAGAGCTCAAAAGAATACTTAAAGTATACAAAAGAGGAACAGGCCAGCTGATCAACTTAGAAAAATCCTCAGTCATCTTCAGCAACAACATGGAGCAGGAAGCCAACGTGGAAATTAGTCAAGCACTAGGAAATATTCAAGTGGTCAATCAAGGTAAATATTTGAGTCTCCCAATGGTGGTAACAAGATCCAAACAGCAGCTATTTGGATACATTAAAGACAGTATTCAACAGAGGCTTAAGAAGTGGAAAAATAAGCTGTTAAGTGCAGCAGGCAAGGAGGTGATGCTCAAGTCTGTGGCATTGGCAATGCCAACATACACAATGTTATGCTTCAAGTTAGCTAAAAAATTGTGCAAAGAGATTAACTCCACAATGGCAAACTATTGGTGGGGTGAGGCGAATGAGAAGAACAAAATGCACTGGAAAGCTTGGAGTAAGATGTCACTGGACAAGAAAGCTGGTGGATTGGGATTCAAGGATTTGGAGGCATTCAATTTAGCCTTACTGGGAAAGCAGGTCTG